CCTTCAGTGGCACTCATAGCACGCTCAGCCCGAATCCTTGGGACAAAGGACTCCATCACTTACTCATGCGTAAAGAGATAAATAAAATGCCGAGGTCCACTTTGTTGCTCTCGTGTCTAGTATTTCAGAGTAATTCACTTGCCTCCGTACATTTTAACTAGTTCGACAACAATTCATTCCCTAGATGTCTCTACAAGCCGGTCAGGACGATGGACGACACGGAAACCCATCTCAGGGATACAGCAGGAGTAAAACTGGTTAGGACAGATCACGGAATGCTAGTTGACGAAAGGACGCAAATTAGAACCTACTACGCGCCTTGCTGATTGTGGCGAGTTAATTGAGTACCCGAGGGTGTTTACACATGTCTCTTACATTCCAGCCTTTTTAGCACATACTCAATCGAGCACTCAATCCTCCTTACTATGAGCTCTCCGTTGCTATGAATCCTGGTTTCCGGGCATGCCTTGCAGCTATGCTTTGAAGGTTTGCACTGAGAAAACCTTACAAACTATTTTGGGCCTTACAAAGAAAAGTAGTTTGTATAACAAAGTATTTTGAGCATACGTAAGCTTACAAAGAAAATACTTCGTAATTTACGAACTATTTCTTCGTATTAACAAAGTATTTTAGTTTGTTATATGTATGCTCAAAATACTTCGTAAGGTTTTAAGAGTGTGGCCAGGTCCTATTGGTCTACGGTTCAGTAATTTGATTAAAGGTCACTATCTCGATCATAAGGCAACTACAATTATGCCATCTATTATCTTCAAAAACGTTTCGGCAACGAGGCACAGTAGAAAACACTAAGAACAGCAAATCATGGTTTGCGGGTTGCCTACCTCGTCCCCTGTGACCCCTGTGCACCAAATTTTATCCTTTGACTTGCTAAGGGTCTACAACTCCGTTTCAGGTTCCCGTTGAGTCGAAATGACGGTTCAAGAGTTGACATGTACGACGAAAATGCCCTTGGGTCAAATTGGCCCGCTCGGCGCTTTACGGTAATCCGAAAACCCGGCGCTTCTAGTGTTAAAGCAGAGAAACTGTGTACTTGCGCCACCTGGCGTGCGTATACTTCACTGTAGAAAAAATCCACGGGAGAAGGTACAGGCTCAGTCTGATAGAGAATTTGCCTGGTACCACCGTACCTCAGCCAGTACGGCTTTTCGGGTACGGAGTACGGTTTTTCAATGGGCTCTTATGGGAAGCACGGTTTTTGGGTACAGTCGTTCTGTACACCGTGAGGTACGGTCTGGCAGTACCTTTTTTCATGAAATAAACGGCTTTTTTGACAGTGAATGGCAAGCAGGCTCCCGGGTCGAGTGTCAGCTCCAGGTGGATTGTACTTGCAGGCAGGTATGCTTTACAAATCCAAAAGCGTATACTGTATGCTCTACCTGGAGCATGCCTGCAAGCACGCTCTAGCTAGCGCATGCCTGCCAAGCATGCACTTACTAGTGCATACATGCCATGTACACGGGTGATTCCGTGCGTAGGGGGTCATTTTGGATGTACCAAATGTTCTTTTTTAAAGTTCAACTTTAGGGGCTAAATTTGGTGTAGATGGCATACATAGTACCCCACAGTACCCCTCTGAGCGTGGCAGCGCTACAAGTTGACTTTTATTTTCACTCCCTATGAAATACGGCGGAATTTACAGAAATAATGACGGAATTTACAGATTACGGAATTTACAAAGCCAAGTTTTTAGTCTCCTGAACCGCTGGGTTACAAGATAGGTAAAAACTGTTGACGGTGTCATTTTCAGCATCCAAAATAGCATTTTTCAGCGAAGGTTGTGGGAACTTTCTCCCTCAGATGGAGGAGCTACGGCCCGAAACGGAATTTACATCCATTTTTACACCCTTACCGTTTTGAACTCTTCTGACGGCCTGGAAGCGTCGTTTGACCGCCCCAGGTCCTGTAGGCACGGGCTTCTGGAAGTGTTTTTATGTTCTTTCGATCCCAAGTGGTCGCGAGTTTCTAAAATGAAAAGGAACCCCAGTAGACCGTCATTTGTAAAAACAGCATAGGTCACATGGTCACACGGTGGACATTTTTCCAAAGGCTGTTTCGGGTTCAACAAGTGATGATACAAAGGTCACCCTCCGTAATTTTGTGAAGAATAAGTCAGGGGAGAGAGTGAAATAGCCAGTTTTCTTTTGATGTGGCTGAGTCATATACTACAGCATGGCAATGTTGTCTTATAGGTGTTGGTGACCATGACGGAACTTACAAAACGACACTTTAGCAGCTTACGAAACCCAGATAAACAAAAGTTAGATCGACTTATCCACATGAGGACATGGTCTTCGTTTAGTAAAACAAATTTGAATTGCCCAAGCTACCAAATCAACCTCAGTTCAGGCGCAAGGCCCCGGTGACCTGAAATGACCCCCTACGCACGGAATCACCCACACGCTTCCTGCTGCAGATAACTCCCTATCCCTTATGCACTAAATGTATGCTTCAGTAAGCGTGTACTTGGCATGTATGCACTAGTAAGTGCATGCTTGTCAGGCATGCTCCAAGTAGAGCATACAATGTACGGTTTTGGATTTGTAGAGTGCTTCGACCTGTGTACACACTTGAGTTTTGTACTTTGTACAACAATTTATGTTCATCCCTGATAAAAAGTTTTACAGGAATTATAGTAAGGGAGTATGGGGCGATTTGTAACAGGGGCGATTCGTAACACATGCGTTTATTAATTTTAGTGGAGGGAGCAGAGGAAAATCTGAGTATGGCCCCTCTTTCGCTTCAAGTACAGGGTCCTTCTACAATCAAAGCGGATGTGATCGGTGCTCAGGTATAGTTTTGGAGGGCGTCTGAAATTTAGGGTACACCGAAAACGGGTAAATCTTTTATTTTGAGTTCTAGGAAGTTTCTGTCTGAGGCTCCCCAGGTATGAATCACCATCGAAGTACTGTTGGGGCCTTGAAGCGTGACCCCTTTACAATGTAACCACGTGGCATAAGGTGCTTTTACTTTGTCCAGTGATAGTTAGGGACGTATTTCTTGCGTAGCCGGCAATTGGGGTGATTCGTAACAGACCCGTATAAAAACAATAATTTAAGTAACTTTTGCAATTAAATGCTTGAATTATTTCTCGAATTATCTGCTGCCTAATTCCAATACATTTACACAGTTCAAAATGCATTTTAAAGCGAGTTATTCTATTATTTCCTCCAAAATTGAAAAAAGTGAGGTTAGGGTTGACATAGCCGGTCAGTTTATGCTGAGGCGGTCAAGGGCAGCTTGTAATGTAGATTTTAAGGCGTCTGTAGGACATCCGAAGAACAACTGCTGGAGGAGATAACATTCCCGACGATGTTTCATTTAATGTGTAGGCTGTTATGAAAAGCCCCATGGCTGTTACAAATCACCCCATGCTGGGGCGATTCGTAACAGCATGCAAGGGTTTGGAAAGCGTCTTAGATTTCAAAGATTACGAACTCCAGATTGATCCAACGGAGCTGCACAGTCTAGATGAAGGGCCAGACTATTCAACTGGCACAAGTTTGACACCGATATGCAGAATGTTCTTAATTTTGTATAGAGAATTCCAAAATCTGTTACAAATCGCCCCATACTCCCTTAGGTTTGTGGTGTTTTTTTTTCGGCAATGTGGACCAGAAGCGCGACAGTACTTGGCCATCTTGTCACGCCGTCCTCAGATCTGTCACGCCACTGCTCTCCACCCATCTCAACCCCAGGCGACTCCAATGGCAGCACCCGGACCCTAGAGCGGTGCGGCTTCCCGTACTGCCACCTTCACAGAAGGCGCATAGCTACCTCTTTGGGACGTCCAGATTAAGCATTAAATCGTGTTTTTGAGCTCGGAAACAATTTTAACCATTCAAAAGAACAAGTCACTTGCAGGTCATGCTGGTTTTAGTGTCTACATAGAAACACAACTTTTTTAATTTCGTCCCGTATTTTGATGCGCCGAGCCGGGAAGGTTGGTATCAACTGCAGGAAAACGACTCCAACAGACAGGTGAACTCTGCTGGGTACCCAGCAGCCACCGTGGCGAAGTGGTAGAGAGCTTGCCTCCCGAAGCGGAGGTCCCGGGTTCGAACCCGGGCGGAAAGTGGGGTGATAGAATCTGGATATAAAGTGTCCCCCAATGTTTATTTACCTTCTGATCGGGAGTGCGGGAAATTTGGTTTTCTGCTGAGGGAAATTTCTCGTGGTATGTTTCCTGTATCGGAAGCCGCGTCTGACGTCACAGAAATTTAAGGAACAGAGGCAAAGCATTGAGTCGCCTGGGGTTGACCCATCTAATGCAGATTTTTCTCCTCCAGGCGTCGGCCACGCCGACGAACTCCCGTTCCTGTTCCCGCTCACCGAGTACGTCCCCGCGCCACCTTCCGCGTCGGACCTAGCCTTCTCCCGCACCCTTCTCTACTTGTTCACCACGTTCGCGTCAACAGGGTAGGCATTAGACTCTGCACTCTCGTTCACTGGTAAAACTAAAGCGTAATATTACCATGTGTTTTCAAGCGCAATCAGTTTACGCTTGAAATAAGCGTGCGCTGAGAATAGGGTACTTCGGAGGAAATCCAGACCGGAAGCCTGCGACAGAACGGGAGAAACTGAAGAGCGTCGCGCGGCCGTGCTGAGCGGTGGTGGGGGCAGCGTGCGAGCACCGCCTTGACCGCCACTCCACCGATTTAAAGCCCTTTTAAAAAGTTTGGTTGTTGCAGGGCACCCACCAAGGACGACTCATGGCCAAGAGTGAAGAACTTTGAGAACGAGACAGAGTTTGCATTTCTCAGCGGCCCCGGCCCCGTGTCCGTACACAGGGGCTTCCATAACGATCGCATGGCTCGCTGGGCCAAGTTCCGCAGCAGCGCTGCCCTTCCACGTGACACTGCAAAAAATCCATTGTAGGATTGCATCTTGGCTGCCACCAAAATCTTTTACATATTGCAATAGCCGTTGTTGAAATGGTCGACACAGGAAGACATGATTACTACAAGAAAGAACCATTCTTAACACTAATTATTTTCAAGTCAACGAAAAAAAAACACATTGAACGAACGTAGATCAGATAAAACTCGTTTTGGTTTTAAAATTACATTTTCAAGAATTTGGTTATGCATTTAAGCGCACATGGGTTGGTTCGCCGAGACGTGGAAATTTGAGGCACGGGATTTCCAAGATTTTAATGTGCGGCTTTTCGGATGAAACTTTGCAGGTTCATTCAAGATGGCTCTAGAATGGTCCCCAAGAAATATTATAGCTTAATTCGTTCCAGTTTTGTTTTAAGTGGCTTAAATGTTGAAAGTGTACTTTGGGTCGATGTTTGTTACAACTGCCAACGTTTGTTACACGCGCGTCGACGTTCGATACATTCAGGTGATTTGGATGGAATTTCAAAGTGGACAAGACTGACATCTATTTATAGCAGGGATCCTTAACTTACCTCATAAGGGCACCATAACGTTATCATAAGGTTTACGTGCCTCTATGAATTGGTTGTGTTTGTTTGTGACTAAGGTTTACTACAAATGTGATGCTATATTTGTGTTGTACCCCATCGTGTGTCTATGAATTGGTTGTGGTTCCAAGTAAGGGTCACCAAGGTTGTACAACTCTTAAGAGTTAGTTATTACCCTTAACTTCTAACATCTTTTCAAAGGGGCAGGTTATTTTTTTATGTCTCGAATTGGTGTGGATATACTTTTGCAAGTACTTTCATAAGTCCGTACCCTTATAAAGTATAACATTGTCTTATGTTACGTTATGAAAGCAGTGTTAGTTAAATGTTAAGTGTCCCTGATTTATAGAAATCGGTTCGTCTGATCAGGACCAACAAAAAATCCTAACGTATGTAATGGGCTTGAATGCGAAATAAACAAGTGTTTAAGCTTCAAGTAGAAGAACGCGCGACACGCAGCGTCTGCACAACCAACGATCTATTATTCATACGCCGCGTGTCCCTTGAATGCCGAAAAATTATGTGCACGCATCTTTTGAAAAAATTCTCCAAGTTTCGAACCCTTGCCAAAAGAGTGACATGCAGGCACGTATCCACTAGACTACGAGGCGACACACCCGGTCGGCTTCCTCCTAGGCATCTCTATCTCCTAGCTGGCCTCAAAACAAGAGTGCAAATAATAAAATAGGGAGTTGCAAACACGCTGCGTAAAAATAACACCCTCCTTTATTATTGACACGCCGGAAAAGCTTTTCCAGCGTTGGAGAAGATTTTCCAGCGTGCAAATAATTTAAGAGCGCTTGCAGACACGCTGCGTGATGGAAACAGCTGCATTTATTATGTACACGCTGGAAAAGCCTTTCCGGCGTGGAAAGGCCCTTCCGGCGTGTACATAATACTTTTGGGATTTCAGACACGCTGCGTGTGTTGTTCTAATGTATATATTATTGCCACGCGGCGTTCAAATAATTTTTACCATTGTTGCGTACACGCTGCGTGTATATAATATTATCCTTATCGAAAAAGTCTTTGAATTTAAAGAACCTTTGAAAGGGCGTAAAAGCCACGCAGGCACTTTGACCTCTAATATGAAGTAATGCCTTACCATGGGGCAGTAAACGTAGCCGCTACACTGGCAGCCAAGGAATGCGACGTCACGTTTCTTTTCACGTGAAAACGGCGATGTTAGTCTGAGCGTGACAAACGGTGAAAATTTACAGTCAAACGAATGTGGCGCATTCTCCGAAAAGTGGGCAACTTTTCGCAAATTTCTGTCCCTTTCAGTTTTTTTCTAAACTTCAATCCAAATGGTCAAAACTTTTCGCCACACCTACTTTTTATTCATATGCACGTATAAAAAACCTATCAGAAGACGGAATTTGAGTCGCAATGTAATTTGAAACCAATATTATAACTAGAAAAACGGCATTTTTTGCCCCAAAAAGCCTGTCCCTCACTTTTTTTTTCGACACATAATACAACTTTAAACTAGCAAAAAGTACTTTTTAATCATTAAACGTGTGCAAATCTTAAAGAGTACACTTGGACCTTTCGAAAGATACCAAGGTTTACAAAATTTACATCCCGATTTAGGATTTTTCGTGAATTATAACTTTGTCCCTCAAATTGTTAAAAATGGCATTTCCTCAAAATCCACCCGCTGAAGAAATGCCCACCCCTCGCTGGTGTGGTGCGTACGCGGTGGACAACTTATCTGTGGCAGGAGTGGGTGCGTACGCCAATGGGCAGAGATGGGGCGATGCATACGTGAATGGACACCTCTCTCTAGTTAGAGGAAGAGCGTACGTGAATGGACACCTCGTTTGAAGCTAGGGTGGTGCGTACGCTAATGGACACCTTCTCCAGTTTGAGGAATTGCGTACGCGATTGGACACCTCTCTCTAGTTTGAGGAAGTGCGTACGCGAATGGACACCTCTCTCTGGTTTGAGGAAGTGCGTACGCGAATGGACACCTCTCTCTGGTTTGAGGAAGTGCGTACGCGAATGGACACCTCTCTCTGGTTTGAGGAAGTGCGTACGCGAATGGACACCTCGTTTGAACCGAGGATGGTGCGTACGCTAATGGACACCTTTCTCTAGGTTGAAGAAGTGCGTACGCGAATGGACACCTCGTTTGAACCGAGGATGGTGCGTACGCTAATGGACACCTTTCTCTAGGTTGAAGAAGTGCGTACGCGAATGGACACCTCGTTTGAAGCAAGGGTGGTGCGTACGCGAATGGACACCTCTCTCTTGTTTGAGGAAGTGCGTACGCGAATGGACATCTCTCTCTAGTTTGAGGAAGTGCGTACGCGAATGGACACCACTACCTAGTTTGAGGAAGTGAGTACGCAAATGGATACCTCTCTCCACTTCGAGGAAGTGCGTACGCGAATGGACACCTCGTTTGAAGCGGCTTTCGGGTCTGCGGCGCGGACTTTCACTGGGCAGCACCTGGTGTCAATTTTCAAACTTGACCGAACAGACATCACCTTAGAGATGTAGATTCGTCTCAAGAAGACAAACTAAAAATGTCAACACACATAATGGGTTAAAATGGAAAATAAAAGAGTTATTCAACTTTTAATGTCTTTTTGACCATTTTTGCACTTTAAAAATCCCATAACTCATTCATTTTCTATTTTGACCCTTGTCATGTGTTGACATTTTTGTTTGTCCTCTTAAGACGAATCTAAATCTGTCAGGTAATGTCTATTTGGTTAAGTTTGAAAATTCACTCATCTCAGCGAAGATTAAACCCTACAAAGCCGAAAATCGACCGATCGCATACGCACCCTGAGCACCCCATACGCACTTTGTCCACTCGCGTACGCACTTTGTCCACTCGCGTACGCACCCTGAGCACCCCATGCGCACATTGTCCACTCGCGTACGCACTTCTCCACTCGCGTACGCACCCTGACCACCCCATACGCACATTGGCCACTCGCGTACGCACCTTGTCCATTCGCGTACGCAACCTGACCACCCCATACGCACATTGTCCACTCGCGTACGCACTTTGTCCACTCGCGCTCACACTTTTTCCACTCGCGTACGCACCCTGACCACCCCATACGCACATTGTCCACTCGCGTACGCACTTTGACCACTTTGACCACTCGCGTACGCACTTTGTCCACTCGCGTACGCACTTGTCCACTCGCGTACGCACCCTGTGCACCCCATACGCACATTGTCCACTCGCGTACGCACTTTGACCACTCGCGTACGCACTTTGTCCACTCGCGAACGCACCCTGTCCACTCGCGTACGAACCCAGTCCTCTACATATGCACTGTCCACCCCCGTACGCACTTTGTCCACTCGCGTACGCACCCTGTCCACTCGCGTACGCACTTTGTCCACTCACGTACGCACCCTGTCCACCCCCGTACGCACTTTGTCCACTCGCGAACGCACCCTGTCCACCCCCGTACGCACTTTGTCCACTCGCGAACGCACCCTGTCCACCCCCGTACGCACTTTGTCCATTCACGTATGCTAGTTCTTATGGATGTCCACTCGCGAACGCGCCAAAAAAGTGAGGGACAAAAAATTGGCGAAAAGTTGCCCACTTTTTGGAGAATGAGCCATGTGACACACCGCACCGCTTAGTCACATTACTTCGAGTGCGACACGCAATCAGCTGTCGAACTGTCACATTAAAACGATTGTGACACTTGGTACCCAAGTACACCTGTCGTGTCGTCGTGTCACATCCAAACGAATGTGACATTCATGCACTGTCACATTCGTTTGAATAGTGACATGCCCACTTTGACATTGTATGCAATAGTCATAAAATGGAGGAAATTCACAACATACTTCCGTAGCTTTCTATTGCCCTGACGCAATGACACCAGTCGGTATTAATTCCACCTCTATTTAGCATTTGTAGACAAAGATTGTTCATACAAGGTAAACAAGGGAGAAGTTTTGTCTGCTGTGGAGTGTCAATAATGGAAACAAGGATGAAAAATATATAAACGAGACTATGAGAAATTAAAGAGGCCGTACTCGGCACGGTGAGACGCTGTGACAACAGAAGAAATGTTCCTAAAAATATTTCCGGAGAGTTTGGTGGCGCTTTTTATCAACATGATCCATTGGGTGGATACAATGAAATGAAAGATCAATGAGTCGAGGTTGACACTGATATTTCGTCCTTTGAGTTCTGCCTTGCACCGTTTCTGTTGTTTATTGTGTAGTGTCGTGAGTACAGTTATAAGGTTAAGACTCGCGCTGCTCGCTGGGGGCTCCGCCCCCAGACCCCCGCATATGTGGGGCGCGTGCCGAAGTATTTTCAGTAAGTCCGTGGTGACCAAAGGCAAATTTTCTAAGGAAGTAAATGTGCTGCTTCTTTGAAAGGTCTATTTAACAGCTTTTGACCATATAATTAAGCTACTTTTACTGCCCAAATAGATAGCTTGTGTTGCATTGGCTACTGTGGCAGTCAATGGGTGCATACAAGGTCCGGAAAATATTGAAGACTGCTTTGACAAGAGTAGAGGTGAATGGAAAAAACCGCAAGTCTCTACGACCACTCCTTGACCCCAAACATTTCTATGAGTGAGTCAGTGAGTGAGTCGCAGTCAGTCAGTCGGATTGGGGCTATATAGATTCTTGATGATGATGATGATTTACCCAAATGCCGGTGGCGGGGACCCGACTGCTGCAGTTTCGGAAATTCTCGACCAGACCTCTGGGCGAATAAAAATTTTTAGTCATTCGGTCCCCTTTTTAGAAGATTGAGTAGGTTTGCTCGGAAACGGTGAGAAATTTTCAACTTTTGGGATATTTCCCTATTTTCCCATTAAATTTGGAATCGAATGGAAAAAGCCGCAAGTCTCTACGACTACTCCTTGACCCCAAACATTTCTATGAGTGAGTGAGTCAGTGGATGAGTCAGTGAGTCAGTCAGTTGGATTGGGGCTATATAGGCACCCTGGGCGGCGTTGGCGGCTGAGGAGGCCAGCTGGGCGGGAAGGCTGGCGATGTTCTGGACACCGTTAAGACCAGGAAGGCCCTGAAGGTTGCTCAGACCGGGAAGGCCCTGAAGGTTGCTCAGACCGGGAAGGCCCTGAAGGTTGCTAAGACCGGGAAGGCCCTGAAGGTTGCTCAGACCCGAAAGTCCCTGGATGCCGGACAGGAGCGGGCTGGGAGAAGCCTGTATTTCAAGAAAGAAAGGAAGATTTACAAACCAGTGACAATTCTAATTCGTCAGTAGTCCTCACTTTTCATTTTGTGGATAGTTCATAGGTAGTACAATGCACTCCCAAAATCACTGAAACTTTCTTTTGTCTTTTAAGGACGATTTCGTGTCGTTACAAATTATTTGAAGGATGCACTTGACTACGAAGACCACTACTTCGTAAATTGCTTTGCTGTTCTTGGTACGTTAAATTCAATAGTTTCCACCGGACATGTATGTTTGCAGTACTTTCGTAACCGTTTAATCGTCAACTTC